ATTAATATTCAATAGCAAATTCAATTTTCTACATTAAGAATGCCTTTAAAGATGCTTTTAAAACTATAAACCACATATCGATACTAGAAAAACACAAACCCTTCTCTGATTCTCCAGAGGCACAATCCCTGGAAATTTAGCCTTGCTTATAACCCATTAAAACTAATGTGGTTTAGGGTACAACAACACTAGCGTAAGTATTTTGAAGTCCCATGGATTTCAATAGGATAAATTTAACTGAAACTAATACAAGTTTAAAATGCTTGGCTGGAAAGTAACACTACAGCACAACTGTGTTAAGTGCTCATCCTAAATTCAAGAGAAAACACAGAATGAATGTATGTGAATTTATAGATGCAGAAGTAAAAAGGGTCCAGTTCTGGATTGCATAGACTTTTGCTTTCAAAAATTCAAATATCAACTTGCTGATCTACCTATAAAAACATGCAACTTGTTACTCAGCCTTGGAAGATTAGAACATAGGAGCATGATACTAATTTTTAAAAAGAAATCTGGAGAAGGGAGGGGCAGGAAGTTACGGAGAAGTTGGATTTATGTTTGTCCTAAGTAATCTGGTAGAATGTTATTGAAAACAGATATTACACATATAGGAGAACAAATCTTAATGAGAAAGCATTGACGGCTTCTGAAAAGGGAAGTTCTGCCTCATCAATCATCTAGAGCTGAAAAGGTCAACAAACAAATAGAAAAAGTATACACTTGGACTTACAAAACTTCAGATGAAGTATCACACAAGCTTAAGACACTTGAGTAACCTTGGCAGTCATGATAAAGGGATAGTCAATTTATGGATTGGTGATGGGTTAAGCATCAGCAAGCAGGTGGTGGAAATAAATGGCCATAATACAAGCAACTAAGCAGTGAGATCCTCCAGGCAGATATATTCAAATCCATGCTATTTATCTTGTTCATAAACAACCTAGAGTCAGGCATGAGCAATGCGGTGTCCAGGTTTACAGAAGATCCCAAATTATTCAGGAAGATGGATAACCCAGGTGAGCGACAAAAAAACAGCAAGTGTTAATGCAGTGGGGTTCTTCCAATGTTATAGAAAGAACATTACTTGGTTTTAGTCCTAGATGCTGAGGACAGTGATCTGAAACCAAGAAAACGTATCAAACTTCTAGGCTGTGAAGTCCAACTTCCCTCTACCACAGCCTTCAGAAACTCAGGGGTAACAGGTTTATAAGTTTGTGACCAAAACCTGTGAATTTTGATAGAGGGTAGAATCAGTATTGGATCATTTTAAACACCACTACTGGGTAGGGCCTAGTATCAGGTGACTGGTTGCAATCATAAGAATACTTTCTTAGGTGTAAGCCCCATTAAACAGAACAGAGTTGGACTCTGAGTTGACCTGCTTAGGACTGCTCGCTAAGGAAATTACAGTCAGTGAATCTTTACCGTAACTATAATTTGTACATATTCACAAGCTTTAAAATGATCTCAATTCTTCTATTAAATCAAAAGATCTCAGGTGCAAGTGGAGGAGTGGGGAATCAAACCTGGTTCTCCCAGATTAGAGTCCGCACACTTAACCACTACACCAAACTGGCTCTTCTTTTCCTAAGAAAAGTTACAGTGAAATTAACTTGTCAGTAAGAGACTTTGATATTGCAACAAGAACTTGAATTGCAAAATATTTTAGCCTAGGCCTGAATAAGGAGTATGATATGAAATTCATGTAGCATTGTTATATGGAAAGCATCCAAGCAATTATGGATTCTGAACTCACATTTAAAAAATAGTGGCCCTCAGTCGTCAAAAACAGACCATAGGACACAGGCCCTCAGATGGAAGCGGATTCCACCTTTACAGAAGTTTCAGGCAGCAGGCATAAAAATTACTTAGAGGCAAGGTGTTAGGTATTTTCTCAACGGTTACCCTTTTCTTTGATATTACTATATTGAGCCTGAAAACCATCAGTTAGTTTTCATCCACTATCCAAGACTAAAACTATGCATTCAATTAAAGAGTTATTTCATTAGCAACCCCCCCATCCCCAACAACTACCAAACAGAGCTTTCCTGGCTTAAAACTGCATAAAAGACGAATCAAGATAACAGAAATTATATTTGAATTATGTAATTTTGGGAGACATTATGCTTAGGCGGCCTTTCTCTATCCATACTTTTTTATGGAGGGCTACCCTCAGAGCCTCTTAGGTTTGGATCACCCAAGTTCTCCTTCTCTTTTCCCTTTCTCCCTTTCTTTGACCACCAGAAGCCTCAGCCTGCTATTTCTTCTTTAACTCCTGATAGTGAGGATCTGTTAAAACCTTGACAGCCTTCATCAGCTCTGTCCATCTTCTCTCAGCTTTTTGAGACTTCATGGTCTTACGTTGCCTTGGCAACCAGGCCAGCTTCTGGCTCCATCTCCCACTGCTCGCTGGAGGCCCCTGTCCTTTCCCCCAGGTGCCTTAGAATCAGCTGGACTAAGCCTAGTGTCCCTTCCCCAAGTGCCATCTCCTCCTATGCCTCCACCCCTGTCAGAGAACCCCCACCGCTCAGTTGTTGGGCAATAACATTGTGGGGGCCAGTGGCTGCAGCCTCAGAACCAACTGCAGCTCTCAGAAGTAGCCCTAGACAGACCTGTTTGAATTTACAAAGGGAACCTGTATTCTCAAATGTGGTGAGATTGATAGCATTTAAACTCTGCAAGATACTAAACAGTGTGTAGGATCTAAATTAGTAGAAATTGTTATACTATGGGTGCATTCAGACAGGGCATTTACAACAGTATAGGTGCTGGTTGGAATCAGTGTACTTACCGGCGTTCACACGCAGAACATCTGTCTTCTGTTCCTAACCGTTGCAAAGAGCTTTAAACCAGTGTATTCTGCTATTAGGTCCCCAAGTGGTGGTATCCTGAGTGCACCGGTTGTAACCCCTTTACCCCCCCCCCCCCATCTGATTGCTCTCCATCGTTGTAGAGCCACTTCCGTTCGGAAGCCTGAGGCTTCCGCTTTTCGCTCACCATTTTTTTTTGTTAGGCCAGTGATATGTGCTTGGGCAAAGCTTCGCCCCGGCGTTTGTTTAAAAAAAAAGAAAAAGGTCCTTAGTTTAAGGTTTTAGAGGAGTCTGGGACATCAGGGAAGCCAGTTTGGTCTTTAAACTTTAAAGGTAAGTCCTTTCTTCAGGGCATGCTTTTCGGGACGGGGTGTTTTGCGCATGTGTGAAGATCGCAATTCTGTGGATGGCTGCCTATGCGCAAACTGAGTTTAAAAAACAAAAACAAAACACCGACGCTCGCCCTGTGTGAACGGGCATACAGCGATGGGCTCCGCAGACAGGAGGTAAGTGTGATCGCGTTTCAGCCGGCATAAACTGCACTGGCTGAAATGCCCCGTCTATGGGTGCGTTCAGACGGGGGCTTTACATCGGTATAGGTGCCGGTTGCAATCGTTGTACTCACCGGCGTTCAGACGGCGAACATCTGCCTCCTGTCCCTAACACTGGTTTAAAGCCCTTTACACCGTTGCACTCTGCCACTAGGTCCCCAAGTGGTGGTATCCTGAGTGCAACGGTTGTAAACGCTGTACCTCGCCGTCTGATCGCTCTCCATCGTTGCAGCTACTTCCGTTCGGAAGCCTCAGGCTTCTGATTTTCGCCCGCCTTTTTTTTTTTTTAGGACGGCGATATGCGCTTGGGCGAAGCTTTGCCCTGCCGTTTGTATCTATAAAAAAAGAAAACAGCCTTACTGTAGCGTTTCGGAGGCGTCCGGGACCTCCAGGAGGCTACTGTGCTCTTTAAACTTTAAAGGTAAGTCCTTACCTTTAAAGTTTAAATGTACGACAGGGGTTTTTGCGCATGCGCGAAGATCGCCATTCTATGGATGGCTGCCTATGCGCATGCACAAACTAAGTAAAAAAAACCCCAAAGACGAGTGTGGACGGGCGTATTGCGATGGCTTCCGCTGTGAGGGAGGTGTGATCGCGTTTCTGCCGGCATAAACTGCACCGGTTCCAACCGGTACAGTTTATGCCGCAGTTTATGCCGGCAGAAACGCCACGTCTGAACGCACCCATAGTGTAGTGAAAGCTTGTAACTGTCAGTTTTATGAGCTAAGAAAGATAAAGTGCTCTATGTAATCTATGTTATCACACAGTGATTTCCCCCTCCCAGATACCACAAGGAGGTTATCTGTCTTAGGAATCTGAGCTTTAGTATCTTTACCATACATACCAAATGTCCTATCTACTCATGTCTTGCATACATAGCAGTTCCAACAATGATACCAATGCATCTCCCAGTCATGAGCTAAACTCCTACATGACAAGGCAGAGCATCCTCTTCAGCTCCCCAACCCCCCCTTTACACGTCAAATCTGCTCCCCCTCCTGACCTAGCCAAACATCCTTATTACTGAAGTCTCTTCTACCCACTGGATACCAGACAAATGGCAAATCCCATTCTCTGACTCAGCCAAATCCAGTGTCCTGCACCACACTCTCCTGTATTCTTTGCACTGATGATACCTGAACTGCTAAATGCTGAGGTATGCAGTAATAATCAGTGCTGAAACAGTTCCTATACCCCAAATTAGCTTCACAGCACTCATGATGGTTTAGGAATTTGTACAGACTTTGCAGTGGCAATCCAAGTCCTACTGGTTGTCCCAAGCAGTCCAATAATGCCCATGGGGCTTACTTTGGCAGGCTTGTGAAAGAGATGGAACACTAATCTCATTGGAGTCTGTATTAATGGTTAGGAAAGATTTTAGGAGATTTTAAGTTAGGAGATTCTCAGTCCAAAAAGCTTGACTTAACCATACCAGAAGCTTGTTAATGATATTTTATTAAAGCTTTTTTTAAAAAAAATGTGTAATAAATAATCAGAGACCACAAAATGTAACATTATCCCATTTATACAAACAGAATTAACATTCAACATTTTTTATAATGTACACATACATACTGTAAAAAATATATTATATACAAAATTTGATTAGCCTACCAAAAATGAATAGTGTCAAGTACATTTAATAGGTTCCAACAATTGAGGAATCTGGAATTATAGTAGCATGCATATCTCTAGTCATATTTGATTTTTCTTTCAGCTTTGACTGAAGTAATGTGTGTTCCACTACGCCAATCCGTATGTCCATCTGAATGGTTTCTTGCTTCAGTTTGGTTAAAGCTTGTTTAATCTTTACTAAAGGAGCTGTTCAAAAAAGAAAAATGCAAAACAGAACATTTTTTTTCTGTCAGTCTGCCACACAAAGGAACATTTCCCCCCCTTGTAATTCACTCCCTCTGCTAATCAGGAAAGCTAAACGAACAAAGGGATGACAATACTCTGGAGACATAACTTAACGGATTCATCATTTCACATGCAAGATATTTTAAAACCGAAAATAATTCTACCACTTTCTTGACATTTGGGATCTGAAGATGCGCATAAAAATGTACATATGCTCTCAGTACTTATAGTCAGGATATTACATTTTATATTGGCAAAAAAATATTGCAAAAAAAATACTCTACAGATTTGTTCCTTAATATATACTAGCAGAAGTTTCTCCAAGTACCCAGAGTTATGGCAGCCACACATATCTCAAGGCATTACAGACAGAGCATAACCACACATAAAGAAGCTATATATTTCCCTTTTCTTTTTTGAGAGAATGACTCACAAGTCTAGGAAAGGATTACGTTCATGGCAACTTTAGAATGGAACAAATAACACTAGACATTTGCCAAGTGTTTATCTTTTCAACAACACCAGCCTAATCCAGCCTGCATTAGTTATCTCAGTGAACCTTTGACTATTTTACAAAGTTCAAATTGTAGAGAGGGCCAAAAGGTTCCGTGTCCAAACAAGATACAGAACCAATCAGATCTCAGCTACCGCTTCTGATTTAGGATTCGGATTTCCCCCCCTTAACCCACATACACATGGTAACTAAGTAACACAGAAAATGGGTGATTTGTTTGTGGAAAGAGCTGGCTGACGGACTTACCTCCATCAGTCATACTGCTTCCTTTCTCTTCCATATCCTGTTTTATTTTCTCCAGCTCTTCAGTAATCTAAGAGAAATAAATTGAATTATTCTTTAAGCCTAGAATACTTTAAACCAAATATTCTGTACTGTTCTTACAAATAGCAGAGAATGTACATTTAAACAATTACACTGGTTAGAAAAGGTTTCCTGCAGTGCCATTGCTATGTCTTTATAATAAACAAAACCAAATGTCTTCCCATCCCAATTTTACACTACACTATCCAAAATAACCACAGCATAACACTTAGTTCATGATATTCCTAAGGCCCTATCTTACCTCTCTAAGCATTCAATATGCATTATAGGGACCAAACAGGGGACCGGAATCTTATTTCCTACTAAGAGAGCAACATGCATCTTTTATACAAGGCATTTAAATTTGGGGGGGGGGGGGGAGACTTGCTACCTGCCAGGACAGAATCATTCTCCAACAGAGGCTGAGTGCTGGACACCTGCTCAGCTCTATTTGACATTTGCTCAGCTCCCTTGTTGCTCAAGCCTACACAGGGAGTTGCTGTCTGGAAGGATAGTTTTCAGATGGCATAAAGGTAAACATTGTGGAGGACAGAGGGCATGAGACTGTTCCTGGGTGGGCTGACAAATCTAGCACAGTCCTTCCCCTTAGGCTGCCCAACAAACTGCACCACTCTCCACACCGAGCCTATAATGGTGTTTAGGGGATAAGCTCTCTAACCAAGTCCTATTTGGTTTCCCTAGTTTGTCATATTGAAGGCTGGTGAGACAAAACATGCTACAATCAAAATATGCTACAATCAACTGGAATTGAAAATGTTGTATGCTTTAATTACTAAAATATGCTCAATTTACCCCAGATTTGATCACTTTTTAGGTATCTGGGTCACTTTTAAAAAAATAATATGTTGTTGACAACAGCAACACACTGACTCAGCAGTAGCTTGGCAGCATTTGTTTCACAGAACAGCCAAGTTCTTTTGCCACCCATTCCATGATGTTAAGTGTAAATGACTCAAGTAAGGCAAGGCCAGACAAGAAAATATGAAAATCCAGAAGTCAGTGCGGAATCATAACTACTGAAAGGCAAGCAAAGTGCTCTCACACACTGCAGCTTCCATAAAACATGGATGGGAAGTCCCAGTAAGGATCTCAAAGCATTAAAAGCCTATCCTTGCAAAGGCCCAGGTCTTTAAAAATAAAAAAGGGTTCATACACAACATTTCCTCATTCTGTTCAAGTTACGGTACAGCCAAGATGAATGTGCACCGTTATCTACTTCTCAAGAATACAGAATGGATTAAGGGAACATATCCCATTCACTATGGCTTGGTGCCAATGACACACTCATCAGTGGTACTTCTAGGTACATGAAGTTATGCACTTCTGTCATTCTATATTAATCCTCATAAATCATCTCATAAAAATAAATAATAAATTTTAATGCTTATAAAAAGTGCTGTGAAAATTAAAAGCAGTAACTCACTCATTCTGAATAACTTATTCATAGAAGCAGACATTAATGTACTAAGAAATAAAGTGAGTTGGCTAAAAAAAAAAAGAAATTGGAAGAAGAACTAATTTGTGTAACTTTTCACTCTTGAATCATCTCTCCCTTATAATAATTGAATAGCAACGTTCTATTTCGCAATGTTCTAAATTTGGCCCCTTTAGTGTTAGGCCGGAAGAACTGCCACTCAGAAGACACTGGCTGGGTTGACCGGCTGCTTTGTGCAGTCCCGCCCAGCGTTCCAAGGTCATTTGCATGTGGAAGCTGATTGGACTTCACTCCATTCCACACCTCAAACTCACCCCCCCCCCGCAAGGCAGTTGGAATTTTCAGTTGCATAACATACCTCATAGGG